TACAGAGCGAGATCCAGAACAGGCACCAAAACTACACTGAGAAACCCTGTCTCAAAAAACCACACACACACACACACAAAAAAAAAAAAAATTAAAAAGCCACTTTTTACTATTCTTATTTTTATACAAGATTTGGATAGAAGTGTACTGTGCATAGGATATATGCACATAGCTGAAAGTCACCACTGGATCATATTTTGCAGACAGCCAGGACCAATAACCCAGATGAAGAGACTGAATTATATCAGCATCCCTGAAAGCTCCTCTCACATTTTTCCTGGAAGATATATCCTCTCCTGACCCCAACATGGTCCCCAAGATAGTCTCTTCTGGAAAGGAATTTATGCAGATACAATCTTTTATGTCTGGATTCTTGCATTTTGCATTAGGTCTGTGAATTCTCCTGTGAATCCCTTTGTATAAGAGGAATTCTTTCCTTCTTCCTCTTCCTCTTCTTCTTTTTTTGACACAGTTTCTCTACATAGCCTTAACTGTCCTGGAACTCACTTTGTAGACCAGGCTAGCCTTGAACTCACAGAGCTCTGCCTGCCTCTGCTTCCCAAGCTGCGGAGATTAAAGGCATGCGCCACCACTACCCAGTGAATTAATTGTTTCTTAAGACCACTTAGTATTTGCCTATATGACAATCTCACAGCTTCCCTGTCCCTTTTCCTGCTGATAAATGTTTGGGTGGTATACATTTAATATTTATTTTACATTATTAAATAATTTTAACGTTTACTTTTGTGTTTGGTGTACATTTGTCTATCTTTAAATTTTGTAAATTATTATTTTATTTTATATGTATGGGTATTTTGCCTGCATGTATTTTTGCGAACTACATGTGTACCTTGGTGCCAGAAGAAGGCATTGGATCCCCTGGAACCACAGTTACAAATTATTGTGAGTGGCCACATGGGTGCTGGGAATTGAATGTGGGTCCTCTGGAAGATCAGGCATTGTTTTTTTTTTTAAAATTTTATTTTATTATTTTGTGTGTGGGCATTTTGTGTGCATGCAAGGCTGTGCACTACGTGAATGTAGTGCCCTGGAGACCAGAAGATGTTGAATCCCCTGGAACTGGAATTATGTATAGATGTGAGCCACCATGGGTGGTGTTGGGAAGTGAACCTGCATCTTCTGCGTGAACAAGTTCATGCACCATAAATTAACCACTGCATCATCTCTCCAGCCCCACAAGCATTGTTCTTTTTTTTTTTTTTTGGCCTTTCTTTCTTTCTTCCTTTCTTCCTTCCTTCCTTCCTTTCTTTCTTTCTTTTTTATTTAATGCCAAATGCTGCTTATTGAAGGAGGGAAGAGGTCTTAAATACAGGCTTACAGCACAATGGGAGAACCCTGGAGGGCAGAAGTTCACTACTGATGTTTTACAATCTTGCATCTAAGCTGTTAACACCCATTATGTAGGATACACAGACAAGGAACTTCCCTTAAGCATTCAGGAGGGTGGAACCCGGCAGGGAATTAGCATAGGGAGGATATCAAGGTCAAGGTCAGCAAGCAAGGCAACAGTTACCCAAAACAGGGGCCAGGACCCTTCAGGTCCCCCTTTTACTAAAAAATGAGCTTCTGACTTAGGTTGCATGGGACGTCAGCAGGTCACCTTACCCGTCATGGAGACACCTGCCCAGGCCACACAGGCGCTCTGTCTTAGGTTGGTGAGTGCCCCCCAGATATTACCCGTCTCTGAATACTCATTATCATACAGGCTCAATCACGTGTGAGCTGCAGAGTTAATTGCTGCCAAAGATCTCAAAGTGGCACTGGGCTTGTAATCTGTGTGTTCAACACAGAAGAGACCAACAGAGGTCCTATCCCACCCATAGCCAGTAGGCTAAAGGCAACTGAGCCATTCCCTTCCTTAACGAGCCTTACTGCAAGTTGGAGTCCTTGTAAGATGGTATCCTAAAAGCAAATGGAACTTGAGTTTATAAAATTATAATTTTCAAAGCCAATCGAAATGTATATAACTATTGAATTAAATTTATCATGCCCAATAGAATGAAAGATTAACTAACTGTGGTAGCTACTTTTGCTGCCAGGGTCTCCACTGTGCTAGCTGTAGTAAGCAATTATGAAATGGTAATCCCAGAAACAGTAGCAGTGGTGGCCGCCACTGCTATAACAGCAACAACGGCAGCATCAATGTCAAATTCTTTCTGGAGCGTGTGGACATCCACTGGCATGGATACAACTCCAGGAACACGAACCACCAGGGCCCATTTTTCTTGATCCCAGCACAACTTAAGCTGGCAGCTCTGTAAAAGAACAACTAAGAACCATAAAGAAAAAACAGGAGCATAATTAATGTCTTATGATGACTACATTCAGGCTCATAAATTTTAAGGTATCTTCAAAGGGGGGGCTAAATGAATTTCAGGAGGCCAATAAATGTTGCACAGAGCCACTCCTGAAAAGTAGGTACTACACCAGACAAGCATTGTTCTTAAGCATTGATCCATCTATCCATCCCTTATCTATCTTTTTTTTATTTGTTTACATTTACTTATTCACTTATTTTGGGACAGGGTCAGTAGTCCTGGCTGTCCTAGAGCTCACTATGTTGAGCAGGCTGGTTTCACACTCAGATTCTCCTTCCTCTGCCTCCTGAGTGCTGGGATTAAAGGCATGCATACCATGCCTGGCTTGCCTTACCTTGTCTTTTAAGGACATATGCACGCAGCTCTGCTGGCTGTGTGAATCATTTGCTGGATTATGGGGTCCAGGTGTACAGAGAGTTCCAGCTGCTCCATGTGTTAGCCAACAAAGAGTATTGTATGTCAACTGAAGTCAGTGCTTATATAAGCAATGGTAGATAACTTTTAAGTATATTTAAATCATATTTAAAGGATCTAACAACTCTTTCCTTTTATTAACTCTGAAAAAATTGACATTGTTCTCTAATGCTCTGAATGGATTTTGAATCTGAAATAACTTTGTCAAATCATGTACAGGTGTCTAACTTAGGATGTCTCCACTTAACATTTTTAGACTTCGTGATACTGTGACATCTGAATGACATCTGCTCAGTAGGGAAGCAACTGCCTTGGAGCCTAGCAGTGAGCTAAACACCCAGTTCCAATTTTGAATTTTAATGTTTTCTTGCAGTCCCTTCTCCTGATGCCAGACAGTGTAGCAAGTCACAGCTGCCAGAGAGCCTCATAACCATGAAGGACCAACTAACACATTACAGTGTGCTATGTGGCTGGGCCAGGATGCTTGGTAGGTGAGATACCTACATGTGGATATCCAGTTTTTCTCAGCACCATTTGTTGAAAAGGCTATCTTTTCTTATCCTTAAACTACAATTTTGTCCTTGGGTGTCAGTACTTGGAATCTATGAGTCCTGTCACTCCAAAATAGGGAGCCCTGATGATGTTTGGGTAGTCTCTTCCACCTTCTTTCTTGTTGACCACAGTTGCCTATAGCTTTCCCTCCTCTGAGGGATGTGGTTCCTGGGATAAGCCTGCTATGGGGGGCCCATCAGAGATGACCACTGAGACACAGTTTATAGGTAACTGAGAGGAATAAAGTATCTTTATTCCAGCTGGCTGTGATTGCACTTAGGTATTTGGGACCCAAGTGCAGTACTCAGTGTTTGGGGTAAGGGGTTTTTAAAGGCGAAACCACATTCTGGTGTCTCACATGGCAGCTTCAGGGGGAGGTTTTGTGCAAGCAAGCAGTTTGACAGAAGCTAAGATTAGTTAGTTGGGGCATCTTGACCTTGGATTCCTAGAATAGAGTTGGGTAACTTTCTACAGGATTCTCCATCAAGGAGAATAAATTCTAGTTAACCCTAAAATGGCCTCAGCAAGAATACAAGATGGAAGAACCCCTGCACTGTCTTGCCCTGTCACATGCTCTCCCACATACTCTTCTAGCATTTCAGGTGTACCTCAAACATAGGAGTTAACTGAACACGGTAAAATAATGTGTTCATCAGCGATGCTTTCTTTGGAAGGTCTTGGCATAAAAGAGAGAAAACAAGGCCGGGCGGTGGTGGCGCACGCCTTTAGTCCCAGCACTCGGGAGGCAGAGCCAGGCGGATCTCTGTGAGTTCGAGGCCAGCCTGGTCTCCAAAGCGAGTTCCAGGAAAGGCACAAAGCTACACAGAGAAACCCTGTCTCGAAAAACAAAAAAAAAAAAAAAACAAAAAAAAAAAAAAAAGAGAGAGAAAACAAGAAAACTTATTTAGTAGAAACTTCAAAAGTAAATACATTGCTTTTCAGTGTCTGATGGCATGTAGTCACTCAGCCACTAACTTAAATAATAATAATTATACAAAACATTTTGCTTTGGTTGATAAACATTGGTCTACATTTTTCAACATCTATTTATTTATTTATTTGTTTGTTTGTTTAAAATGGGATTTCCTCTGTGTAGTGGCTGTCCTGGGACTTGCTCTGTAAACCAGGCTGGCCTTGAACCCACAGAGATCCAACTGCCTCTGCTGGGATTAAAGACTTGTATTTTGAACCGAGGTGAATGTTGGAGAAGCCCTGGGAAAAGCTGTATTAGCCCTATCAACATCGTCTATGGTTGCTTTCACTGACGAAGCTTTGAATATGTATTTTCGTGGGTAGGAGTGATTTAGTGATACACAGTTCTTCATCGGCAGCTCGGTTAAATACTTAAAAGTTCTGGGAAGCCAAGCCTCTTTTTAATTTAAGGGGGAAGTGCAAATGACACCATCCTTAGCTTCTTGTGAACTACTCTAGTCTCTAATTTTCCTGATTAGTATGACATAAGGATCTTGCCTTTCTGGCAGGCTTCAAGGGAATCAAAGACAAACCGGCTACACATTTCCGGGTCCTTGCTGACCCGGCGCATTTCCCAACTGGAGTTGAGTAGGAGACATGTAGCGGAGGCTGAGGCAGAAGGATTGCGAGTTTGAGGCCAGTCTGAGCTGCATAACAAGAAACCAACCACCCAACTTTTAGACTGCAAGAAAATTCAGGGTCTGATCAGTCACCCCACAGCGTTGAGTTGTCCTCCGCACATACTCCACAAGTACCTCCCAACCAGACCCACGCGTCAACAAAGCTGCCCAGCACAACGACTTCCTGGTGGAGGCGGTCCCCAAACGGGGAATCCCCCTGCCGCAGGGCCCCACTGGAAGCCGCGAAGCGAAGTTGGGCAGGGGCTACGCTCGGCGCTCGATTGCTCGAGCCTGGCGACGACAGAGCCCTTGCGACGGCTCTGCGCTCGAGGGGTCGAGCCTGGCCCGTTGCCGCAGCGGCGGCAGCGGCGGCGAAGCGGCGGCGGCGGCAGCGGGGACGTGAGCGGGAGCGAGTCCGCGGCCCAGAGCGGGAATGTCGAGGAGTTCGAAGGCGGTGCTGGGCCTCTCGGTGCTGCTGACGGCGGCCACGGTGGCCGGCGTGCATCTGAAGCAGCGGCAGGACCGGCAGGTCGGTGTCACGTGAGCGCGCCTTCCGGAGCGCGGAGCCCGCAGCGGTCCCCGCGCGCGTGGCGGGCCGGGCGGGCTTCGAGGGCGCGCGCGTCCAGGGTTCTGACTCCTCTCCCCAGCCACGAGGCCTAAGGCTTGGGCGGAAGCCTCGGGGCTGGGGTGTAGCCCTGAGGTAGAGCGCTGGTAGGGCGAGCACGAGGCCCGGGGGCACCACAGCCCACAAAAGCAATACCCAGTAGTTGTTAAGTCCCGAGATAACGCAGCCGGCTCCCAGCACATCCCCTGTGCCTTTGAGCAAGGCAACTTGAGATTTTTGTAATTTTTGCGTAAATGAACAGTCTGCTATGCAAAGTCGGTTCCGAAAACGATAAAAAAAAAAAAACAAACAGCACCCTCCACGTGTTCTTTTGATGCTTTTATTTCAGGGAATATCTGGCTTGTTGGTCTGCGACGGTCTCTTTATGTTCTCATTCAAGTTTGCAACGGTTAGTGCACTAGGCACATTGAGAACGCATAGTTCATGATGGCCTCTCTGGAGTCTGTTCTTTTTTTACAACGGAGCTACGGTCCGCAGGCCAGTATTTGGTTTTTGGCCTTTCAGGCAACACCTTGACAGGTATTTGGCTTGAACCGGATGTGCCAAAGGCAGAGTAATGAACTGAAAGCATCAAGAGTGAGCAGCCCCATTGACTTCGGTATCCACAATCTAGAAAGCCGAGAGGAATCTTGAAATGTCCTAAGAATTTTGAGGCGCAGGGTGGGATACGCAGTGATTTAGAGGCACACAAGAGATTAGAGATTTGGGGTTAAAGTCTTGTACCATAGGGATATCTTAGAGTAGAAGTAAGCAACTTCCTTCTGAGGAGGAAAAGGAAAAGATGGTGGTGCTGATTAAACTTGGCGGATAGGACAGGATGTCTGTATCATCCTGATGTGTTTTGAAGACAGTGGGTTGGAATTAGAGCTTTGTCTCAAGCCATGTTCCTGAGAAATGTTTACAAGGTGACCAGACCAATGAAACCAGATCTCTGGGAGCATGGAGACTCAGCTATGTTCCAAAGCTATGCCAAGGGCTTTAATGAAACAGGGTTGAGGATGGAAATGTGGAAGAACAGAAAGTTTTAGGTGTTTTGTGGAAGTTAGTGGTAAGAAAGGCCGACCAAATAGCCTCTCCTTCAGATATTCATTAGCAGCTTACCATCTAACATCGAGGAAGGAAGGATTGCTATGGTGGATGTGTTGAAAACTTCAAGGCAGCAATCAATGAAATAATGACTTGTTTTCTGTCTACCCCACACCAGGCGTGGTGTTTTTCACTTTACATACAATGTCTTTAAGCTACTTAGTAGAAACGAAGTACAGATGGTCCCTAACTTACAGACAGTTCAACTTGGTTTTGACTGTGACAATAGGAAAGCAATATGGTTTGTATTTAGTGAAACTTTCTTTGAATATTGAATTTGGGTATTTTCCCAGGCCGGGGATAAATGGTAGGATTCTTTCTAGATGCTGAACAAGCCACAGTCCCCAGGGTGCTGCAGGATAGTGTGTTGCTGAGTCCTGGCATTCGGTGGGTTAGGTGGACTCAGTATACCTTTTGACTTTGTTATTTTCAGTTTCTTAAGGGTTTTTTCTGGGTGTAGTCCTATGGTAAGTTGAGGATGTTAGTGATTCTGCAGGAATCACAGCTCCAGATGTTAGAATTGGGTGAGTAAAGAGCTGTCTTAGGGTTTCTGTTACTGTGATTAAACACCATGACTAACAGCAATTTAGGGAGGAAAGGATGTGTTTCAGTTTACAGTTTCATATCAAAGTCCGTCATCGAAAGAAGCTGAGGCAGGAACCTGGAAGTAGGAACTGAGGGAGAAGCCACGAAAGAATGCTGCTCTCTGGCTTGCTTGCTCCTGGCTTGCTCAGTACATTCAGGACCATGTGTCCATGGATAGGACCACCTGTCCAGGAGTGACATTACCCACGATGGGCTGGGCCTTCTTATATCAATCGTTTATTAAGACAACACCCCATAGATTTACCTCAGGCCAGTCCTAGGCATTCTCTAAGTTAAAATTCCATCTTTCAGGGGTTGGAGAGATGGCTCAGCAGTGAGGAACACTGCTGTTCTTCCTAAGGACCCATGAGCACCCATGCTAGATGGCTCAGAACTGCCTGTAATTCCAGCTCCAGGGGTACACACACACACACTTGCGTGCGCGCACACACACACTCGTAAATTCTCTCTTCAGGTATGTCTAGGTTTGTGTCAAGTTGATAAAAACCAAACGGCACAATTGATCCCTTGTCAGCTTGACACAAACATATCACTTATTAAAGTGTGATCTTTTTGTTCACTCTCAAGATCTCCTATTAATGTCAGTATCACAATATAAAACATATTCCTAACTTTAAAAGTCCCTGTCTTTAAGTCTTAAAAAGTTCAGGTTCTCTCTCCCCCCCTCCCTCCCTCCCTCCCCCCTCCCTCTCTCCCTCCCTTCCTCTCTCCCTCTCCCTCTCCCTCTCTCCCTCCCTCCCTCCCTCCCTTCCTTATGACACAGGGTCTCTGTAAATCAGTGGTTCTCAGCCTTTCTAATGCTGTGACCCTTTAATAGTTCCTCATGTTGTGGCGACTGCAGCCATACAATTATTTTCGCTGCTACTTCGTAACTGTAGTCTTGCTATTGTTATGAATTGCAGTGTAAATATTTGTGTTTTCTGGTGGTATTAAATGAGCCCTGTGAAAGGGTCTTTCCACCCAAAAGGGTTGCAACCCACGGGTTGAGAACCACTGCTCTAAACTGTCTTATTGTCTTGGAACTCATTTTGTAGACTAAGCTGGCTGCTAACTCACGAGGTCTGCCTGCCTCTGCCTTTTGAGTGCTGAGATTAAAGTCATGTACCACCATTTCTGGCCCAAATTCAGATTCTTTGAAACATCAGAGGTCTCCTTCAGAGTTCAGCCTTCTCTAAAATATCCAGTCTCTTAATTGTGGACTCTTGTAAAATCAAAAATAAGTTAAATATTTTCTTACTCCAGTAGGGAAGAACCAGGGCACAGTTACATTCTGAACAAAGCAAAACCAAAAACATTAGTGTAAAAAGTTCAGTGCTTGACATCTGGGACCCATTCACCATCCTTTTGGGCTCTGAGGGGCCTTGTCATTTCTCTAGCTCTGCCATCTACAGCACATGAAACTGGCCTTCTAAGCTCAGGCTGGCTCTACTCCACAGCAGTTGCTGTTCTTGGTGATTATTCAATGATATTGGCATCTCTAAAATATTGGGGTCTGCCCTGCAACTGGGCTGTACAGCTCCCAATAACCTCTTCAGGGCTCTCTTTAGAGACTGACCCTGAAATGTGGTGCAAGCATTTCTCTCCATGATCCTTGGGGCTTAAACTTCAACTAAGCCCTGGGAGACTTACACATCACCAAAGGTACAGTCCTGGCCCCCTCTGGACCACAGCTTCTGTGTTCCTACCCTGAGGAAATACTTCTCTGAAGATTTCACCTCACTGATGCTGGTCTGTTAATCAGAGCTGATTTCTCAGCTGCAGCCAACCCTTGTAAATTGTCCCAGTATAGATCTACTCCAGTGGTGCTGGTATCTTCCTAATCACAGCTGATTCTTAAACCCCAGCTGACTAGAACCATATATTCTCATTTCAAAGTGTCACACAGCCTTCATATAATCTTTAAAAGACTTTCAAAACTTCCCTTTTTAATTTCACAAGCTGGCCTCCACCATTTGCATTTCTCTCAACACTCTTATCTTCAAAGATCCCAGAGAACAACCTTCTGAACTCTGAGCACTCAGCAACTTTTACAGCCCATGTTCAGGTGCCATCTCAACCTTCCTCCCTCAAATACCATCAGATCTAACATAGCAATACTCCACTTCTGGTACCAGTCTGTCTTAGGATTTGGTTCTATTGCTGTGATAAAACACCATGACCACAAGGAACTTGGAGAAGAAAAGGTTTATTTCAGTTTACAGTTCTGTATTACAGTTGATCACTGAGGGAAGTGAGGACAGAGACTCAAACAGCCCAGGAACCCGGGAGAGGAGCTGACACAGAGGCTGTGGAGAGGTACTGCTTACTAGCTTGCTCTTGACTTGTTGAATTTGTTTTCTTAGACTCCCAGGACCATCTGCCTAGGAGTGACACCACCCACAATATGACAGGCCCTCCCACATCAACCACTAATCAAGAAAATGCGCCATAGACTGTAGGTGGACTTTTCTGTCCCGCCAGCCTCCCCCCAAAAAAACACACAGAGACTTAATATTAATTATAAATGATCAGTTGGTAGCTTAGGCTTATTTTCATCTAGCTCTTATGACTTAAATTAAGCCATTTTTATTAATCTGTGTGCTGCCCCGAGACTCGTTTATCTTCTGTACGTACTTCCCATCCTTGCTCAGTGTCTCATGGTGTCTCCTCAGACCCTGCCCCTCTTCTTCCCAGGGTCCTCAGTGTGGTTGTAACCTTATCCTGCCTAGCTATAGGCCAGTCAGCTTCTTTATTAAACCAATCACAGTGACATATATTCACATAGTGTAAAGGAATATTCCATAATAGACTTGCCCACAGGCCAGTCTTGTATGGGCATTTTGTTGTTGTTTGGTTGGTTTTGGTTTTTTGGTTTTTTTCAAGATAGGATTTCTCTGTGTAGCTTTGGAACCTGTTCTAGAACTCGCTCTGTAGACCAGGCTGGCCTGGAACTCACAGAGATCCGCCTGCCTCTACCTCCCGAGTGCAGGGATTATAGGTGTGCACCACCACCCGGCCTGGTGTGGGCATTTTTTAGATTGAGGTTCCCTCTTCTCAAATGACTCTTGCTTAGGTCAAGTTGACATGAAGCTAACGTGGAGCCAGATCTTAGTTTAGTGTGGCAAGTGGGAGTTAGAGGTGTGAGGCAGTCTCTTGAAGGAAGGTAGGAATGGTGGGTGGAGATGAATCTCTCAGCACAGGCTGATGTCCTCCAAAAGGAGCTGGGAGATAAGTATTGAAGGAATTTTGTGCTGTATCTCGGTATGAGGAACACTGTGACAAGACCTGGGGGTTAAAGAAGATTGAGCCAGTACTTGGGAGGCTAAGGTAGGAGATCTTGACTTTGTGGTCAACTTGGGCTAATTACAAGAACTCATCTCAAACAAAACAAAAATTGAATTTCAGTTAAGTGTCCATCCAGGCATTTTTTTTCTTCTTTTAAGGTTTTATTTTATTTTGAGACAAAGTCTCCCTATGTAGTTTTGCCTGGCCTGGAACTGAAGATGTGTACTACCATGCTGGACCTGAGCCCTGTACTCTTAAATTTCCTAACTCCCTTGTGTAGCAAATGAAGCTATAGGCCTGGAAGAGGCTCAGCAAGTACTAGGTGAGTCTTTTTTTTTTTTTTTAAATAAACTTTATTGTAAAAATAACAACAAAAAACCCTTGCAAATAAATAAAAAACATCACACACCAAAGTTAATGAGACTCAAAGACGGTACAGCTCAATGAACTTCTATAGTTTTTAAGTTTATTTATTTATTTATTTATTTTTTAAAGATTTATTTATTTATTTATTATGTATACAGTGTTCTGCCTGCAGGGACACATGCAGGCCAGAAGAGGGAGCCAGATCTCATTACAGATGGTTGTGAGCCACCATGTGGGTGCTGGGAATTGAACTCAGGACCTCTGGAAGAACAGCCAGTGTTCTTAACCTCTGAGCCATCTCTCCAGCCCCTATTTATTTATTTTATTGTTTGATATTTATGAAGGTTTGCATGTAGGTATGAGCACTACTACATTTATGCCTGATCCCATGGAGGTCAGAAGAGGGCATCGCATCCCTTTGGACTGGAGTTACAGATACTTGTGAGCTGCCATGGAAATTGAATTCAGGTCATTTGCAAGAGCAAGCGCACTTAAGCCCTTCTCTCTCCAGCCCTTCTATACTATGGTTAGAGTAGGCATTCAGAACAGAAGCTGTGGAGCTTCACATTAAATTTTATACTTTCGATATCAAATATATTTTATGCACTTGCCACCAAACCCAGAAAATCCATGACAGAATTAGAACTAGAAAAACACTTAACTTATATTCTCTTTTATAATGTGTGTCTATTACCACTCAGTCCTTCCTCATCCCCTTTTGTATAGCCTTTCTTGTTCTCTTTCCATCAGATTATACTATACCCACATGTGCATTTGTTTGTATATATACAAATATCATTGGCTAGATTCTGCATATGAGATTTCTTTATTTGTAATTGTATGACCTTGCTCAATATTATACATTCTATCATTTTCCTACAAATTTTTTAACTTTAATTTTCTTTAGAGCTGAGTAGTATTCTATTGTGTGTGTGCATGTGTGTGTGTGCACATCAGATTTTCATTATCCATTCATCTGTTGGTGGACAACTAGGTTGATTCCAATTCTTTCTTAGGCCAGTCTTTAAAAATAAAGATAAGAGGCAGGCAGATCTCTGCATTTGAGGTCAGCCTGGTCTACATAGGGAGTTCTAGGACAGTCAGGGTTACATAGAAAGATACTTAAAAAATAAAAATAAAAATAAAATAATAAATAAACACACACACACACACACACACACACACACACACACACACACACACAGACTGGAGAGATGGTTCAGTGGTTATGAGCACTAGTTGCTCTTGCAGAGGACCTGGGTTTGATTCCCAACACCCATGTGGTAGCTCACAATCATTTGTAACTCCAGTTACAGGGTATTGGACACCCTCTTCTACCCCTACAGGCACTGTACTGGCATAACTTGTAGATAGAACACCCATATACATAAAGTAGAATTCAGGTTTTTTAAGTGAAAAAAATAAGAATAATAATCTCATGAAGCTTCTGTTAAAAATGTACTCTTGTGAGCTACAAAGTATAAAATATTCATAATAGTAACTGAGTGGGCATTTTAAATTTCATGTTAGGCACCAGGGTCACATTCTGAGATTGTTTTTAGTACTTACTAAGGTAATGACCGTTGAGGAACTTACTTTTTTCACTGGTAATTGTACTTTTTTTTTCTTTCTAATTGTAATTGATTGGGAATTTTGTATTTCTGCCTTTTCATGATAGAAGTCCTTTATTTTCTCACATTCTTACTGTCTTTTTTTCTCTTGATGTTTAGCGTCTGTCTCAGGTAACTGCTTATAGGAAGGCAGTTCACAGTTTTGCTGTACTAACTCATCAGATTTTAAAAGTATCACTTAGAGCCAGGCGGTGGTGGTGCACACGTTTAATCCCAGCATTCTGGAGGCAGAGCTAGGCGGATCTCTGTGAGTTTGAGGCCAGCCTGGTCTACAGAGCAAGATCCAAGACAGGCACCAAATCTCCACAGAGAAACTCTGTCTCAAAAAACCAAAAAAAAAAAAAGTATTATTTAGCAATTAAATTTATAAAATTCAACATAGTGCCAGTTTTTTATATTTCATTAATTCCTATTAAGTTTTCTATGTTCAGGGATTCTTAAAATGTTGTAAGAAGTCACTTCAGTATTAACATAACACATTACCAGATTTACTTGGTGGTTTCTTTATTTACATTGTACAGAAGTTAAAATTGTAATTGGGTATTTGAAATCGGAACATTTTGAGTGTATTTTGGTGGTGCTGTTATTTAGATTTGGAGGCACAGGATGGGAGCCACCTGTTCAGGGGGTAACTAAAAATCTGCTTCTTATGTTTTTAGAGGCTTCGTGACGGAGTGATTAGAGACATTGAGAGGCAAAATCAGAAAAAAGAAAACATTCGTCTTTTGGGAGAACAGATTATTTTGACTAAGCAACTTGAAGCAGAAAGAGAGAAGATGTTGAAAAAAGGATCTCCAAACACTTGACTTTGTGAAAAATTGATGGGGTAGTGCTGGGTTAGCGTGTGTATATGTGGGTATGTGCACGAGTGTGTGTGTCCATAGAGAATAGCTAGTGAGATCTGTCCCCTCCCCCCCAAATCACTGTCCATTTAAACTTTATTAAATAAAGGACAGTGGATCCTGTCTTCTAAATCACTTCTTTTAAGTCTGTTCTGTGTGGATAAAGTACTCGTGGGCAGATGCCCTTCTGAAGTTGTCTGGAGATTTTGCAGCAGTCCCTGTCAGCTTAGGAGAGCTTGTGAGCAGGGAATGATGGAGAGTAACATCCACCTGGGTGGACTGCTAAGTCGGCATGATGATGAAGCCACAAGAACATCTACCTCAGAAGGGCTGGAGGAAGGTGAGGTGGAGGGAGAGACTCTCTTGATTGTCGAATCAGAGGATCAGGCATCTGTGGACTTATCTCACGACCAGAGTGGGGATTCCCTCAACAGCGATGAAGGAGATGTATCGTGGATGGAAGAGCAGCTGTCTTACTTCTGTGACAAGTGCCAGAAATGGATCCCAGCTAGTAAGGAGCTTCTCAATTCCTTTGATTGGTCAATCCCTGTGTGATGGTTTGTTTTCCAGTCTGTGAAAAACACTAATAAAATAGACTTGAATAAAAAGATAATTATTATATTTATTATTATTAACCTAGTTTATCAAATGTAAATATATATGAAAACACATTATTTTGTTTTTAGTTTTCTAAGACATTCATTTATTTTATATGTATGTGTGTGTGCCTGAGTGTATGTACACCATGTGCATGTAGTGCTTGCAGAGGTCAGAAGAAACATCAGATCCCCTGGAACTGTAATTACACATGGTTGTGAGCCACTGTGTGGGTGCTGAGAACTGAACCAGTATCCTCTGCAAGGGCAGTAAGTGCTCTTAACTGCTGCGTTATCTTTCCATCCTCACAGAAACACATTTGTATTAATGAAAATTGTTGATCACTATCCCATTGTTAAATTAACATTCTGGATGGTCGCCCAAGAAAAATTAAGAATCCTGTGTTACTTAAGGAATTGGCCATATTTTCCTAACAAGAATATGCTGTGGGTTGGGGGACACATTCTGTTGCCAGTATAGAATTAAAGTTCAAGTTCACAGAACCTACTGTGTTATAGTTGACATTTGTGGGATACTGCTGTTGTCTTCTGATGAGAGGTTAGAACTGGCAGCGCAAAGACGTTTGCTTCCTGCCTTTAGACCAGGCTTATTTTCCACTCTGGGCCTCTTATCTGCTGGAAGGAGTCACAATGCACAGATCTTGAGGTTTTCAGCTGCTTGCTTCATGCTTTGCCAGCCATCACGATCCTTAGCCACACAGCATTTTCCATCAGGCAAGAGACAGAAAAGGCATGTGTACTGGAGGAATGCTTTATGTAAGAGTTTATAGCTAGTGAAATGGAGCAGTAACACACTTAGTGAGGTGGGTCAGTTTCTGGTATGTGGAGGCTTCTGCTAAAAATGGATTCAGTTGTTCAAATTAATAGCTACTGTAAATAGTTAATAGTAACAGTTGATAGAAAACAAACCTAGAATTGACTATTTACCTGGTTTTTGCTTCTTAGCTATCTAGTAAAGCTAGGTTCCACCCCAAATCTCTGGTTTTTCTGTTGTCCTCACAGGGTAGATTTTTAAGGTGACTTTCATGATTGGGCCCTGCTAACTTTTTTTTAGGGAGGTTAGGTGAACTTTTCATTCTTTTTTTTTTTTAACCGCACCCCCCACCCCCCGGAGTTGAGGACCAAACCCAGGGCTCTACCACTGAGCTAAATCCCCAATCCCGAACTTTTCATTTATAAATAATGCTTTGTGATTCCTAGGACTTTGTACCTTTTTGTTTTCTCTGGAATATGCACCTGTACAGCTTCCCTGCATTCCTGTTCCACAGGCAGCCTCTTCTAGCCAATTTCTATTCTCCCTTGGGCCCAGTAGCCCCCTATTCCCTCCACAGTGGGGTTGGGCATCTCTTTTCTTTTCTTTCTTTCTTTCTTTCTTTCTTTCTTTCTTTCTTTCTTTCTTTCTTTCTTTCTTTCTTCCTTTCTTTCTTTTCTTCCTTCCTTCCTTCCTTTCTTTCTTCCTTTCTTCCTTCCTTCCTTTCTTCCTTTCTTTCTTTTTTTTTTTAAGATTTATTTATTTATTATATGTACAGTGTTCTGCCTACATATATGCTTGCAGGTCAGAAGAGGGCATCAGATGGTTGTGAGCCACCATATGGTTGCTAGGAATTGAACTCAGGACCTCTGAAGAGCAGCCAGTGCTCTTAACCACTGAGCCATCTGTCCAGTCTCCAGGCATCCCTTTTCTATGCCCTTACACTGCCCTGTGATGCACATTACATCCTACTCTGGAAGTTTTCATGTTGCACAAAGTTTCAGCAGCACCTGGGAGCTTTAATTCAGAGCTCAGACCTGGACTCAGACTGAAGCATTTTATTTGGGGCAGACGTGGCCATAGTAAGGAAATAAAGCCCAGCCACCTAGTGGTTCTGATGCTCCAGAATCAGAGAATCCAGAACCAGTGCAGTTGTGTTTACCTATGTTCTTTGCTGCCTCCAGATTTATGAGCCCACGAGAGCAGGCTCAGGTCACGTCTGCCTTACACATTGCATATCCAGTTCCTAGCCTGGTGCCTGGCTGGTGGTACAAGCTCAGGTATTCCCTGAAAGAATGTTTGAAGAGATCTGCCTAGAGGAGTCAGGAATGTGGCCACTGGGAAATCCAGTTAGAGCAATCATACCTGCTTTTCCAGGACCTTTCTCCTAAAAGCTAAGGAGCCACAGGTTCTAGGAGGGGCGTGTGCCTGACATTAGAAGGAGAAACACCTTTTTCCTCTGCTGCTGTCTGGGTTGGCTGCAGAAGGAGAAAAACACACCATGGAAAACTTGGAAATCTGATCGATTGACTGAGCCTTTGGGTTGCCGCTGCATGAGATAAACCCATGATGTGACTTGTGTTTTCTCTTGTAGGTCAGCTGAGGGAACAGCTGAGTTACCTTAAGGGCGATAACTTTTTCAGGTTTACTTGTTCCGATTGCTCGGCAGATGGCAAGGAGCAGTATGAACGGCTGAAGCTGACGTGGCAGCAAGTGAGTACCAAGCTCTTCTCTAGAAGCAGCAGGTTGGGTGCCCAAGAAATTGGAGTGGTTATCCAGAGTGAGGAACTTCAGAGTGGTGTGGGGGTAGGGTGCTTTACACTTCACAGTGGAAAGGGGTACAGTGTGTGGAAAGAGCACTTTGTGGTTTAAAAAAATACTCAATGCTAATTTAGTGAATTCTTGAGAATCTGGATCAATTTCACTTATGTCATACCAAGCTTAGACTCAACTGAAAACCAGGCCCACATTTTCTGGCAGTCATTCCTGGCATAAGAAAACCAGAGGTAGCTACACTGGAAATAGATTTGGCAGAAACAGTTTGACTTCATAACAAAGACAAAATAACCAACAGGTTCAGCATTCCTGCATTTGAACTTGGAGAAAAGTCTTTGTTGATAGATACTTTTAGCTGTCTCAAATACTAGCACTCTAAACAGTAACTTTTTACTGACCTTCAAGTTATATTAAATTATTTTGTTTTATTTTAATATGCATATATTTAGTATATATATATTAAGGTAACAAGGTATAGCCAGTCCTCAAGTTAAACATTAAAGAACTTTACAGTAATCACTGGTTCTGTTGATGTCAGTGATACTGGGGCAAACCCATGGCCTTGCTTACATTAAGTGAGCTATGCTCCAGACCCCCTGGGTGTCTTGCTTTTTAGTTTATTTATTTGACATATCCTGAGTACCTACCGTGAACCAGGTATGATTTGAGGTCTGGAGAATGCTGAGGTGGGTGAGCCAACTGAAGCCTCCACCCCTAGGCCTTAGGGGCCACTGACATTCCACAAACAGATGAAGTGATAATTACCCTAGCACTCCTTCCTTTGAAGAAACAAACAGAAAGGGGAAAGCTTTTAGGTATGCTGTGTTGGCCACCTGGGGTTCTTGTGACTGACTGTACTTGCCTTAACAATCTAAACAGCTGTCTTCATCACCAGTGCTTTTTTAGTTCACACGGGAGTCCTGTCAGGCTGTCTGACTTGCCAGAAATACATAGGTAGAAAATGAAGGAAGTTTGAATTAGTAAATAGTCTCATGAGGGTCACAGTTGCACTTTCCCCGCTGTAGATGTCATACTATATGTAGGCCAGGTATGTTACTACGAAGAGAATTGCAAATACATAGGTGGACTTGTACTTAGCCTGCACGTAGCATCTCATAAAAACTGGAAAATGGAGGAAAGCAAATTTAAGTGGCCATTTTCAAGAATGTTAGTTTTCTAACTAACATGTTAGAAATGTAATGTTTTTAAAAGAAAACTTAGTTCTTATATTCCTCAGAATATGTACTATTGGCCCTGTTTATGTTCTTAGTCGGGTTAGCACTGATTGAGAAAACTTTTTTCACTTCTAGAAGATATATCGGTTGTGGATAATACCCTGGAAGGAAGAAGTCATAACTTAAATTATAAATCTTAGATATACATATAACTTAGGTATACATTCTCATAAGCTACCAACCAGCATTTCTGGACCAGCTAGTCCTCAGTAACTTCAGTAGGGGTCCAGATACTTAGAGCATTATAGTTTGTGTTTTCAGCTTTTTAATCTCAAACTTTAATTTATTGGAGAAGTAAGGAAGATGCTTGCAACACACAGCATTTTCTTTGCATTATAAAATCCTACCAGTAAAGATCCACCCTCTGGATGGAAGACCCCTTCCCTCCATGTCCCTCTGTGTCTTCTCTTCCTCCTGGTGACTCTTGACTTGCAGCACAGAGGAGAAACTTTGCAGAACACCTCGGGGGCTAGAGACGCTTGAACATTCTTGTCCTGGACTTCTGACACAGACAAGCATTCCTTGTCTGCTCTTTCTGGGCACAGTTCAGACGACAGCCCTGGAAATACTTTGTCCAGAAGACCTTATGGTGAGCTTGGTCTGGTGTGAGCAGAAAACTGATCTGGCGTTTTAAGCTCTTAGATCACATTCTGGAAGAGGAGGAACAACGGATCCTTTCAGATTAGTGTACAGTACGTCCAACGAATACTGGTAACAGAAAAGCCATTTTCAAGTAAATAGCTTATAATTCATGAA